CCCGGCCACGCCTCCACCTCGCCCACCGCGTCCAGCGCGAACTCGCACCCCGCCCACTCTGTCAACAACAATAAATTGATTTAATTTTCTTACATTAGCATATCTATACTGATGTTATAGAAAAGATTGTATTTTTATATTTTTGTATGCATAACGTAGGCCATATTTTAATTTTACGCCGAGGAAGTCGCAAGTAACGGCTATTTTGATACATTGATCTGTTACAGTTTAAAGAGAACATTACCCGTGAGTTGTCCGTTGTGCTCCATAGTGAGCGACCAGCCGGTGAGGCCGCGCTGATGTCCGGCGGCGGCCAGTGCTGCGGCTGCGGCGCGCTCGCACGTCGTCCACGCGTCTACGCTAACATGTCTCAGCGTATCTATGAAACGAAGAAAAATGTTTACCAAATACTGTAAAAACTGTACAATGACATTATCGATCGCTAGAAACTACAGCATACCATCGTACAGCCGCAGTGGCAGAGCAGGTAGGGAGTTGTCTCCGGCCCTCCACTCAAGAGCAGTGGGCGGCGCCCGGCGCGCCACGCCCGCCGCCCGCGCCTGCGCAGCCTCCGCGCCGCCCGCCAGCCGCAGAAGTCGGCTACGTTGACGTCCCGTTGTCGACTCGGATATCAGTCTCAATAGATACCTGTTTTATTACAATTTATACTCAAAATAGATTATAAACCGAAACTTAATATTGAATTGTTATCTATATAGATTTGTATTTTTGTATGTATTGAAATAACTAAAAAACTACTGAGCCGATTTCAAAAATTCTTTCACCATTACGAAGCTACGTTATCAGTGAGTAACTTAGGCTAAGTATTTTGATAATTTTTAATTAAACGCGGGCGAATTTGCGAACAAAAGTAATTTTATATTTTAATCAAGTGTTTATACAATTTGTGACAAAGTATTAATAAATCTTACGACAAATTTGATTTAAACGTCTTTTAGCTGTACTGACTTGTGCAGGGCGGGGCCGGGCTGGAAGGAGGCGAGGCAGTGCGCGACGAGCCTCCAGACGCGGTCGCTGTGCGCGCCGCCCGCCGCCTGGTTGGCCAGCTGCACCAGGATCTCGTCCCGCAGCCCGCGCGACGCTATCCCGCGGGACGCTATGTAGTCAGCTAACACCTATACACAAACATATCACTTTTAAAAGTACAAACTAGCTATCCGTAAACCATCGTTAGCGTGTTTTTTTTAATGTCATCGATTGCGTGCACCTTCTACCAGCTATCTTTCAAAGTCCCATCAAAATCGGACCCGCTGCGCCATTTTGACAAGGCGGAATTAAAAAAAAATGGCTATAATATGCTGATTCATGTTATCCACCGTCCGTTGAACCGTCGAAATTGGCTTAGCCGTTTCGGAGAATATCGCCTGAATTCACTATAGGGTTAAACGTCGTCTACAGATCTGCTATGAGTTAGAAGGCAGAAGTTCTTCAGAGAACTGAAGAATATGAACATAAGTTAAGTATTTTTTATCCACATTTTTTTTTTATATAACATAAGGTGGCAAACGAGCAAGCGGCCACCTCAATCCGCCAAAATGGCGAATCGACCGCTGCCCATAGACATCCGCGATTGCAGATGCGTTGCCTACCCTTATCCGACGGAGGAGGAGACGCACATAAAGAGGATATTTCCCCTTCCTATGCATATCCTCCACCGTCAAATCCACTTCCTCTTCCCATCCTCTTCTTGTGAGAAAAGGGCGGTAAAGAGAAAGGGACTAAAATTAAGCCTCCGGCACCACACTCATCAGACGAAACACGGAATTGCTACCATTTGACGCCTGTCTTCTGTGTGGTCGTGGTATTACAGGGGGCGTGCCGACCTATTCGTGCTAAGGTGTTAAAGCGGGCACTACCACTGTTACACTTATGTAAATCCTTGTAATAAACCAGATACCTTTTGCCGCGTATCATCTCCGGCAGCGGATTCGTCACACCAGCGCAAGATTAATTTGAATACAGCGATCGCATCGTTGAAGTCTTGGTCTCTGAAAAACAAATCATAAAGTAAATTTTATATTAAAACTCATCATATAGAACATTCAGAAGTTTCCACATATGTTGCCAGCTCGCAATATAATAATAGTGTAGGCGGGGCGTGCTCTACGTAAGCACATGACCTTGGGCCGCTAAGACATTTAAAATCTCCTGACGAGAGATCATTTTGTGTAATTTTGTTGTTTGCGATCAAAATAAACATTACATATATGAATAATTCAACGTATAACAACTTCATACCTGACTGCAGCCTTTGAAAGGAAGGGTTTGGTGATAGGTTGCTTCTTGGGGCTGAGCTGGCCGCCGTCCGCGAAGTACACTGAGCTGAACTTGGAGAACGCAAACTGCTGCAGGTCTTTTGGTAGCTGGATGCGCTCCTCCTCCGCGAACACATCACCTGACACCTGGGAATAGTAAAAAAAAAATTCAGACCGAGATAATACTCGCTCAAGGACCACCTATTCTTACATCGCCAAACAGTTTTTATTAAAATATTTGCACAATAAAAGCGTTTATACAAAACGTCAGCATGTTACCTTGGTAATGTTCTTCTCGGTATGCAAGGGTTGTGTCTCATCGATCTTGGACAGTATGAAGGCGAGCTCCGCCGGTACTTCCAGCACCTGCAGGCTCTCCGCCTTCGCCTTCTGCTCCGCCGCACGGCGTCTGATAACGAAAGCATTTGGTAAACAAGGGGTAGGCAGATATATTCAATGATATTCCTTACTTACAACGTAATGAAAATTTACAGACAGATGTAGATTGTTCACTCAGTTAGTACTCAGAGTAAGAGAATACTAATGGAAATATTTTTTTAGGTATATCATAAGGTGGCAAACCAGCAAGCCACCTGAATCCGTCAAAATGTGCGAAGTGACCGCTGCCCATAAACATTCGCAGTAGCGGATGCGTTGCCTACCCTTGATCGACGGAGGAGGAGACGCGCATAAAGATAAAATTTCCCCTTCCAAATCCACGTTCCCTTTCCATCCTATTTTTACGAGAAAAAGGGTGAGAAGAAAAAGGCACTAAAGTAGGCCCACCGGGTAATCATCAAGTATTTTTAAATTGTTTCTCCTTACTTAGCGGCCGCCTGCTGCGCCTCCTGGCGGCGTCTCTGAGCATCTCTCTGTTCCTTCAGCGCGGCGACGCGGCGCCTCGCCCGGCGCGCGCGGACCAGCGCCTGCGCACGCACCACGCCGCGACGCGCGCGCACGAACCGCCGCCGGTCGCGCGCCCCGCGCCACCACGACTGGATACGAACAGTCGACGCTTGCAGCTGGTTGTATCGTTTTCTAAACACAAAAGGTATCAATTTAAATCAGTCAAGTTGTTCGAACCTACACTAAATTAAGGAATATTAGACGAGCGGGCCCACACCTTTCAAGTAAACAATCACACAACTGTTGTCCGATTGTTTCGCCAGTCAATTCAACTGTTTGCACCACTAAAAATCAAGTAGTGTGCGCACCTCCATATAAGCTCATGGGAACCAAAGCGAGACTAGACAGTTGTGCGATAGTTTAGTTTCTATACTTTAAATCTCTTCACAGACAGATCTGACCTGGCATATATAGACGAATGACGTGCGTACTACTTATTTTACTAGTTATTAGTAGATAGTTGTTCAACTAACCTAGCTAGATATCCTCTGATATGCGCCTGTAGCGTGGTAGCGGCGGCTCGCAGCTTGTCTGCGCGGGCTCGCTCCAACCCGCGGTGCAGCGCCTCGCGTACGAACACGCGCGCCGCGCCCAGCTGGTAGTCCGCGCCCGCTGAAAATGAACACAATTTGTATACACTAACGATTCAAATTCGTATGTTTTAGTGATAATAGTTATAAAAAAACATTTAAGATATAGTTAACTTTACTTAAACAGTTTTACAAGTCCAACAAGACAAAGAATGTCATAGATTTGCAGAAACAAAGTCCCTAAAAATAACGAAGATTAGAGGTCTATTTCGAAAATAATATGAATGAACATTTTGTGTTGTTTAATATTTAACAAAACGACAACCTTACAACGACCGTATTCAAGAGCTATAAAGATGCTGTTAATACGTCGAAATCACAAGATGTACATTTTTTACGGCATGTTACACAGATTCTCTGTAAGCAATTTAACACGTAACATCAATTGTAACACTTTCCCCGCCAAGTCACGGATGCGTAAGTCTCGGTATTTTTATAACACATATCCAACTACGTTTGTTAATAACAATAAGACAAGAGGAGATTGCTAAGACAAAACCCTTCCACTCTATACATCTACTAGCTTTTGACCGCGAATTCGTGCGGAAATAAATAAAAATAGTTAGTAGCCTATTTGTTTGTACACACTGTTCTATTTATTATTTCGTCGTTCCTTCTAAGATGAGATCTAAGATATGTACCTTTTAACAAACATCCATCCATCCAACAAAATCTGGCATTTATAACATTAGTAAGTTAAAAATACATTCAAAAATCTATACCTTTAAAGCACACACATTCACTTAAACAATCACTAGATTCTTTATGAGTTATTAAACTTCGTTCACATGTATACAACTCTTAGCTTGAATTCCGACTGATTCCTTTCTCCCACAATCAGCCTATCGCGTACACAATGCACGTAAGTCCCTCCGGAGAGGGATCGTTCAAATAAAGCATGCAAATCCGTTGCTTTATACGTTGACTATTATGCATACAGTAAGCCGTTAACTGGTAACAATGAAGACGTAGGTGTGATCGATTCCTATGTTGTAACGCTTTCTTAGTCTGACTAATTTATTACCCACGACTTCTTAATCATCAGAGGTAAAGATTTACTTAAATACCGCACTATACTGATGGCTAGTCACGGCTTCTTTTAACCGTTCGTAAGTTAACTTGAGTTTTACTCCTTTAAGATTAAATTCAACCTAACCTAGGTAATGATAAAATAAATGGAAACTTTAGCAACCCAATATGAGAACTCAATTTAATTATGCATAAGATTACTTTGCGTGATAATACGAATTAAATTTGCTAATAAATATTTCTCATTGTTGACTTACCAGCGCCAGTTGGCGGCATCTCGGCGAGAATTGAATTGCATATCTCTCTGTAGGGCGTAGCACGAGCCGGATTCGTCTTCAACAAGTAGCTGCAAATGCAATAACTTTACTGTGAATGCGAAATTTTAGATGGATGCATTAACAATGATATCACGTAATATCTGGATCGGATCTGTATTAAATTCGGAATAAATACCTATTTAAAAAAATACAGACTACCTTTTATTCCAGAAAATAGAATTATTCAGTTTTTAGGTTGACTCACCGATATCTGTCAACAAAGTTCTGGAACGGTATCCGTATGGGGTATCCAGTTTGACGTATCTTGATGGTATCGAGCATGCCAGTGTAGCGCAGCTGCGCCAACACGCACGGCAGTTCGAATTTCATTGGCGACTTCTCCGTGTTCGGCTTAATGCAGCGCACGAACCATGGGTTGCAGCGCGTCATCGACTCCAGCAGCTGGTGCAGGCTGTCGGAGAATCTGGGGATAGGACAAGACACGGTAAAGACGATATTGCCACATTATTAGGATACTGTTTTGTGATCAAACAATTGACAATAAAAATATACGAGAGGTAAGCAGATACCGCGAGCTTCGATTTGGCGCGGTCTTAATACACCTAGACTTCATACCTTCATGGCCGTTGGTTTAGGATGGAAATCAAATCAAATGGATAAATATATTTAGAATTATTTTACCTAGCTGCGACAGTAGGAGTCCTCGGCTTCATGGTAACAAAGCGTCCATTAGCGCCGCGTGGCAATGTCTTGTTGTTGTCATGCTGCGCGCGAAGCTGGCTAGACATCTCGGCGACAAGCGGCACATCACTACTGCACAGCAACTCCAGCACGTCCCCGCGGAGTGCGTCGCGATTCTTGTCTAAAAAGCCCTCCACATTGTACCACACCTGACCCGCGTAGTGCTTAATCTGAAAAACGAGCATAAATAAGTATGAAAACTTTACATATGCTTTCATTAATTTAAAGAGAGAAACTAAACGTACTCCGAACTCGTTAGCTCCCAATCTAGGCCTTGAGTACAACTCATTTAGGGCATGGTTATAGTGACACTTCTCCAGGAACGAGGCGTCCGAAGCGCGAGGGAAGTTGCTCTCGTCGTCCAACAGATGCAGAATGCCCACCGGCTTCTTACTGAGTAGTTGGATCACTGGAAACAGCATTAAACTTAGCAACCAGAAGTCAAATGCAAATATAAATATGACAGTTCCTGGAGAGGATTCCTGGAGATTCCTGGAGACATACCTGGAGAGTTATCATTCCAAGTCAGATTCGACCATTCCAATCGCTCCTTCTGATACTCCTGTTGTTCCAGTTTGAATATATGCTTATTAAAATAATGCTGAAGCGTTTCGTTTGCGTAATTAATACAGAGTTGTTCGAAGGAATTCTCTTCCAAGTCTTCGAAGCCGAAGATATCGAGGAGAGATATCCGATGTGCGTCGTGTAGACCCGAGCGGTGGACTATCGAGTTGATTCTTAAAACAAGCCAGTTGAAAAGAGAAGAATAGAGCGCCTTCGCGAACGCATCTCTGGCATCCAAGGCCTGGTCTATCGGTAGAGGTGATCTCATACGCTCAGCACGGGCGGCTGTCACCCTCGTTGTCAAAGCGCGTGCAAGTGCTTCTGCAGGTACCTTTAATAAATGCGCCGCCCAACGCACTTCGGCACCACCTCCTAACTGAACTCCTTCCTGTCCGTGACGCAACTGTCTTCTGTGGAAGTATACATTTCCTAAATGAAGAACGGCGGCCAATACCCTTATAATGTCTTCTCTTTCAGCATCACCAATGCCAAGCACTTGCATAGCGCCGCACAGAGCGGACCAATCGGCTCCCGCGCCAGCACCTCCAGAGTCACCTCCCTGATTTAAATAGAAATAATGCTCCGCCGTCAGGAGACCTCTCGTACGTCTCTGTTCCTCGTCCAATCCGGCTAACAGTTCATAAAATACATGATAGTTTCTTTCGCCCGGCGATTGGGTGACTATTCTCGACTTTTCTAGTAAATAATGTGCTACTCTCGCACCGGCCAGGGCGCCATCTTTGAAATATAGTTCTAAAAGTTTTCCGAAACGACTAGAGTTATGGTTTTTTGGTGTCCTCGCGTTTCCGAACGCTTCCAGCAATGGGGCCGCCTCAAGTATCTGTTCGGATACAGGTGCCCTGCCCAGCGGCGCGGGAGCGACCGCGGCTAGAAACTGCACTGCCAGTTTGGTAGATTCCGTCTTTCCCGCGCCCGATTCCCCTGATATCAGTATAGCTTGCGGGTGTGGTAAAGAGGATCGGGCAGCGGCGGCGATCGCGAACAGGTGCGGTGGTAGGTCTCCTAGTGCTTCCGCCGCATGGTATCTGTTACAAATGAAAATGCATATAATGTTACCTTAATAACATATTTGCCTTGCCGTAAAGTTAATTATTTCATTCCAAACAAACAAACATCATTACAATAGTGAGATACATAAATCCTTGGTTGTGCCCACATCAAAGATTTAGATAATACAACCGACATAGAGGTTGCATTAAAAGTGTCAAGGTTGTGTGCCATGCTCAATGTCTAATGACACTTTAATTGTGCAGCCGCAAGACATACAATGCCAAAGACCTTCCATTCATAAAAAAATAAAATTTACATGAGTACTTTCGACACCTGTGTGCTTTAAAATAGTTTAAAAATGAAATAAACATCAGACGATCAAATGGGTAACATTAAGCTGTTTTGACCAAATCGCCACATGAAATTGCAAAACCATAGTTTATTCATTACTTAGTTACATTAATTTGCTGGTTATACCTGTTTATAAGAATTATCGCTTTAGATTTATTTATTTGTTACCTTCTAGCAGTCTGCAGCCCGTACAACGAATCAACAGGTCTGTAAGGATTAACAGCTACAAGTATGGACCCCGCGTATGTATAAATAAGACCCTGTTCGTATCTCAGCTTCAAGTTCCATAGTAACGCAGCTTCGTGGAGGTCATGGAGGCGAGTCATGTCCTCCACTCCGTTAGGGCCGAGTTCCTCGCGCGGCCACACCGGGTCGCCCTCCTCTTCGCCATTGCCCATTTGGAGGGCGAATGTCTGGGGCTGTTGGACAACAAAATTGTTTATTAACTAAATATATGTTGCTGCTAACTAATAATTGAAACTTTGTTAAGTGAAACACTTTGAATACGAAAAGAAATTAATCGATCCAAAATACATTTCTATTTTGGAGCTGCTCACATTAAAAAGATGGAAAGATTATTTTAGGGTTTGCAAAGTCTAAGACCAAAATTATCACCGAAACTTAACAAAATACTAGGAAATCGTAACCGTATATTGTGCAACAATGGACTAAAGAAAATCATACATCTAATTTCAATCATCTATGCTATGGCTTATTTATTAAGTCAAGGTTAAACCAAGCATTTGTAATACGCAATACAATATTCTACTAGTTTAGATACGCTTTAACGTAATCGAGGAACAACACGAGACCGCAGCCAGACGGAAAACTATCGTCTCCCGCCGCCACTGACATGACGTAACTACAATACAATCTTCATCTGAACGCATCAGTTTCCCTCTCGACATCACTGTGAAATATAGCTTAAATGCTTGCTAAACGGACCGAGAAATGTGTATGAAAATTATTATATTGTAGTCTCATCGCATTTGTAAATTACTGTTCTCATTAGATAGTTATTCTAAGTAAGACGTGCGTTGTGGTAAATAAAATACGGTTTAAAAAGTTAAAGCAAGGATATTATCTTGCATATTACTTTCTTTACTGTTAAGTTAGGCATATAACAACGGGATGTGACTGTGCTGACAACTGATGTGAAAAAATCGAAATATTCTATTAGCTTTTATCTTTCTTTCAGCCAAAGATATAACAGTATAAATATGGAGTCGTACGAATAATATTTAGACAACATTGCAAGATATCTCTAGAATTTGCAAGATTTAATTTTTTTTATGTAGAGTTTCTTTTCTTTTCTATGGATTTTCTTTTTTTTTAAGGAATTTAAGGTATCAATATCTACAAACTTTTAATTTTTTTTTTTGAGAATAATCCTTACATAGTTCAACATCACTTCTAAACATAACTCTTTTAACTTTCGAACGGACTTTGATCTCCATTTTCTATGTCTTAAGTCCGCCATTTTCTTTTTCGAAGTTTTAAGAATTGGCGATTTCGGAATCATCCGCGCTTTCTGTCGTATCTTCCGTTTGTGAAATAGGTTATGTCGTGTCCATGTTGAAGTTTGTGAGTCTGTGGAGCTACAAGAGAGGTTACAAGCCTCACAAATATCCGGCGAAGTGCTCGGTGTTGGCGCGAAATGAACGCGCATCGACTGTCAGATGTGACGGCTGACAATTATTCTAAATATTAAAAGCGATTTTTTTTAATTAACACACATGTCGTAATTTATTGGTATTTTACTATTTATTCGGTCAATAGTTGTCTATATTGAAGACAATTCACAACGATTTTGTGATTTTTCACAACTTGCAACACCATGTTATTTCACACTTCACAAATCTTATATCACGTATGAGCATAACGTTCACTTTCATGAATAATTCTTATTTAATTCCGAACACTTTCTAATTGTAATTTTTATACAAACATTACATCACAATTTGCACGAATTGTGTATAGCGTAGTGGCGTATTAGAAGCGCGAAGTGTAACTGAATGCCTACAAAACTGGTATAGTGGAGTTAACTGTTAGCTACCGAACAGGATAACGGAGTAAAGTGCATATCGTCTGGTTGCTGGCATCTTAATCTTAGGTCAGATAACCAGGTTTAATCGAGATTTTATTCCGTGTAGTTTCTTGATTTTTTAAACAATTCTATTAGTAGTAAAAACATATTATTATTGAATTTTGATCAATATTAATGAGATAAATACTTTTAAATTTCATTTCATTATACAGATCTGTGTAATCAACAGTTTATTTACGATAGTCATCAGCGAAGATAATTAAAAACAAGAATTAGAAAACTGTCAGGCGTCGCAGCGAGAAAAGGCATGCGCCGATCGCCGGGCCTCAGGAATGTGGGTAGAGAGTTCGCGGCATTGTTACACCTCAATTCCACTAAGCGAATAGCCGCGCAGTACCTGTCGTACTGACCACTAGTTCTATAAGGCGTGTTTAACATTACCACTAGTGCAACATATAATACAGTCGCGTGGCGTTAGTCGGTTAGTGGAAACGGGTTTTAATATCAATGTCACATTAGTTTATCTAATGCTTCTCACATTCTAAAATCGATCCGTTGACATGTAATTTGTATGAATCATTTTTGTTTATTTTATTCTCGTATTCATTTATGTTGATTAGATTTTATATGTTTTTCTGATTATCAATTCTGATATGTTTACTAATTACTTTGGAATACCTCTTTGTTTTACAACCAAGTATGCTGAGGGTCTATCACGAATAATTGTGTGGCATTGCAAGAACGTATTCGTAACAATATGGATAAAATTTGTGTTCACGCAGAGGCACTGTACAAATCTAATACTAAGTTTGTCGATGTCGTTACGAAAGCCTTCTCACGAATGTTCATGATAAGCCCTCTGGTTTACATGTCGTACGTGTTTCATCGCGTTTCCACAATCACACGACTGACATATTGACACACGTACGTGATAATTTTGTTCTAGTTTCAATAGCTGTTACTGAATGCATTGTTTGCGATAATTCATCGATAAACAATAACTAATTATTGTGGTTTTGACGCGAGTTTGTACAAATTAGTGGTATGATCGATAAATAATGAAATCGTGGGATTTAAAGGAAATAATTCCTTATTTAGTGGAAGTGTAAGCTTTTAAACAGTTACAGTCTTCTAGTTAAATCCAAGGATATTGCGTCTCTCATGGATAATTGTCAAATTCTACCGTAATACTTTTATTAAAACATATGTTGTCTCTGTTGTTTTGAAGGAGATGAGAGGGATGATAGATTTTTCGATAGTTCCCTCACCTGTCCATTGACCAGGGCACTAACGAGAAGCACGCGGGCGGCGCGGTGCACCTCGAGCAGGTCCCCGGGCAGCGGAGCGGGCGCTCCTGGCGGCTGGAACCACACCGCCGCGCCCGCTGCCCACTCCACCTGCCCCCCAGGCCCCCCCGACCCCGCCATCCTATTAACAAACAAAACAAATGTCAAAAACATACAAGATTTTTTTTAAATAAATCATTCAAAATGTTAATTAAAATATTTATCGAGATGAAACATTCACCAAAACAAGCTTTGTAACTTTTTTATTTTAAAATTTGGTGAAATGAGACAAATGTTTCTACAGTTTTAATTATTCGGACAGAGATTTAGTTCAATGTGACCTAAGGGATCTTGAAAAAGACATTGTATGCCCTTCAATCGATTAGACCACTAGCAAACGTAGTCCGTGAAATTAATTGTTTTGTATAATATCGAAGTTTAATCATCAATTAGGTATAAGAAAAATATACAGTTTCTGATATTTAAAATATTCCATGTTTCTATTTATAAGTTACTGAATTTAAAAAAAACGTACAGACAAATTCAGTACGTCGTTCAAAAAGTGTAAACAGAGTTTTCAAAACTTAATGCAACGTATGTTAGCTGTTTCTTAACGAAAAGTGTAAATATTGAATATCGTCTCCAGTATCTATGGTACTTTGTCGACAAACACCGAGTATTGTAGCTGATTGTATGACAAAGGTAACACGAGTTGTTCTTAGCTTACATTTACACATGTTATGTCTACAGTAAGTCGAGACAGGTAGAATTAAAAGAAACGAACAGTCGTAAGTCAGTACGTTCATCTATACTTCTATACTATTATAATAAAGCGTAAACACATACGTCTTTGTTGCCTAAGATGTCAGCAATTACAGCATATTTTCGAATAACGTTTTTATTTAATAAAAAGCCCTACACTAACGTCACGCTTGAGGCTATATATTTTCACGCCGTTAAATTTAAGGATAAATATTTTGGATAAAAACCATCAAGCATGTTGCCATGGTCAAACCATCATGTCATGTCATTTTGACATTTGCAATTGATAATTTGACACATGTGAACAATAAACTGATTTTTTTATAATTTTACACGGATGAAGTCGCATGGCAACAGCTAGTATATCATATCTACTACACTTGCCAATATGGATACCGATTTTCCGCCAACTAATGATACTTTAAATTCTTAAATAGAAATCGAAGGATGTTAACGAAGGAGGATCGTTATATTCCTCGTTGAAAATAATAAGTGAAACAACATATTTTAGCAACAATTTATATTTAAATGTTAATACATTACTTATGAACTATTCAACAATGGCAATAATGACTTATAAATAAATTGGTGATGGCAGAGCAGCGGCTAAACAGTCACAGCCGGGAGGTGACGCCAGGCAACATATAGGAGGTGGAGGCGGAGGCTGGAAGCAGACGGGGGAGGGCGCAGGTGGCTGGATGCAGAAAGGCTCGGGCGCTGGAGGCTGAATGTACATCGACGGAGGTGGAGGTGGCTGCACGCATATAGGCGGCAGCGGCGGAGGCTGGATAGTCATGGGACACGGCTGTGGTGGCTGCACGTATAACGGCTCGGGACACGGCGGCTGCAAGGTCACCGGGCCCGGTGCCGGAGGCTGGATGCACATTGGCGGCGGAGATGGCGGCTGTACCATCATAGGCGGTGGACAGGGAGGCTGAACTGACATCGGCGGCAACGGCGGAGGTTGTACCATCACTCGGGGCAACGCCGGCGGCTGAACTACTATCGGCGGAGGAGCCGGCAATTCTATCACTATCGGAGGCGGAAGAGGCAGTTCCAAAATCAATGGTGGCGGCATTGGCGGACTTACGCTCATAGGTGGGAGAGGAGGAGGTGTAACGCACATCGGAGGTAAGGGTGGAGGAGAAACTGTCATAGGTGGAGGCGGCGGTAGTGCAATAGTCATCGGAGGAAGTGGTGGAGGCGAGATACACATCGGAGGTAACGGGGGCGGTGATACAGTAATAGGCGGCGGAAGGGGCACTTCAATGTACATCGGAGGTAAAGGAGGTGGTGTGACACAGAGTGGGGGAGGTGCTGGGAGTGTGACATATATGGGGGTTGCTGCTTGGCAACCGCACGGCAGGGAAGGGCCACATCCACAGGGCGCGGCGGGCGGCGCAGCGTATACGGGCGCTGGTGGCGCCACCATCAGGGAAGAAGGACATGATGATATTGCGTAATACTGGCTATTAGCCGGGTACTGTAAAGACAAATAAAAAATGCTGTATCTTATGCGCTATTTAGTATTAATTAAAAAATATAATATAATGACTTACGTAGACTACCCCAAACAACAATAAAATAGCCGCTCCAATGTTCACCGCCATCGGTGATGTGTTCGTAACTTGGTAAACGAATTATGTCGCCCTTGTTATATACTAAACATATTACCCTATAGTTTGAATGTAATATCATATCGAAATAGTTTACCAACTAGTTATCAATGATTCATTACCCCATATTAATTGCAAGTTAACGTATCGGATCAATATTTATGTTTTAAAAAAATAATGAAGTGATAAATCACGTCAAGTTCACTACGACCGTTAGGAATGTAGAAATTGATTGATAATGTGTATAAAATTAAATGCACTTGTATAATAATGTCATTTCTACGAAAACATCGTTCTAGCGAATAAAGAAATTAAAAAATACGATACAACTATTAGACGTAACATTTGTCAAGCTAAAAAATGTATGAAACACGTTTTTGTCTCTACAAATAGTTCAAAACAATAGATTTATTAATGGCTCTTAAGACTTAGACAATATTGTGATAAAATTTAACGGAAAACAAATGTTTCTCCAAACGAAAGTGTTGTTATACAATCAAACTGCCAGATGTTTCGTCGCAAACATTCTTAATTGAAGAAAGTGAAAATCGTTAGTTGATGAGAAATGTTCTCGTAAGTAATATTACTTTTGACACTATTTTGACGCATCTCTCGGTAACACGCAATGCGTAATTCGATTTCTTTTTATGTTACCACGAACCGTAAAAATTCTTGTAATAATTTGTAATTAACAATCTTAATTTTTAACATCTGTAACAGCTAGAACAGAGGTGACCGTACCAATGGCACGCGTGCCTTAAATGACACACGACATTATATTTTGGGCACGTCGATTATAATAAAAACATAGCGAAAAAATTATGAAGTAGATGCACCTTGGAATTGATGTAATAATCGAAGTACCAATTATCCGATGGCACGTTTAAGACCGCATTAAACATTTCTTTATAAAAAATGGCACTTTGATGAATAAATGTTTGCCTAGCCACCCCTGCGGTAGATAGAACTACATTATACCAAAGACATAGATGGCTGAATAAAAAACAGCGACAATATTCTTAATATCAGTATCTGCAAAACAATTTTATCTTATTCAAATTTTATAGCGCCTTTTTAATCTGTGAATCAGCTTCGATCATTCGACTATGATTAAAAAAAACGGGGATATACAACATAGTAAATCGCGATGCGGTCATATGCCCTTGAATATCATCATTCCGAAACAGATTGATTGGCATTTAAAAATAACACACGTTGTCGGCATAAAATTATAGTCGCGCCTTCGAACGACCCAAAAAAAGTTCATTGAATCCGGTAAACAATCGCAACGGACGCTTCCGTCCGGCCAAGATGTTGGAGGACGTTGTGAATACCAAACGATTTCAACCAGGACAATACGCCTCGGTTCCGACCACACTAGTTCATACAGGGCTGCCACAGCGATGAAAAATATATCATTTTATAAACAGTTTCTAACACAACAACACTAAACAATTTGTGAGAAAGTTTTCTTAGTTCCTTTTACTAAAATTGTATGATTTTAATTTCACGAACAATATTTCTCGATGTATTTTATTGCCCCGATCGAAGCTGCACAAACCTAACGGTGCACAATTCATAAAATAAGTAATTATAAAAATATTGTGGTACACAATATTAGTGTTAAACCGCTTATCGAAAGGGAATCTAGTCGATAACCTTTCGATTTAGGGTGTCAACACATTTTGTATGCCGACTGTATTGTTGAGACTGCTTTCTAATGAGGCGTCGACGCCCATTGTAATGGAACCCGAATCTACGTGTCTAGAGAAATTATAAGAAAGTACAAAAAAACATGGTTTTAGATAATCTCCCTAAAGTATATTATAATCAAAAATACGTAAAGAAAACAAAGTTCTCATTTTAATTAATAACCATAAAACAATTCGACTTTAATGTGAGAAATGGCGGGAAATAATTAATTTTTAATATAACAGTTATCGTCGGCTATAAAATTATAAACAACGATTTCATTAAAATAATTATACTAAACAATTTGCAACGTCTATAAAACGATCGCGTTAGAAAGCCTAATAATTTTATGGCGCGATACAAACCAATTGAATAACTTTCCTAAAATGGCCGCCTGTCATGAATCCCTTACATGCGTTATGAATGACTTCTCATATAATACCAGCCATTCTATGAATATAAATGTAATAATTCATCATCAATAGATCGTTTTAATTCTGTTTGTAGATGACGTTGACTGCAGAATATGTTTTACTTATTTACTAGCTGTTGCTCGCGACTTCGTTCGCGTGAAATTAAAAAAATTACTAACAGATAAATTACTTTCCTAACGTTGAAAGAATTTTTAAAATCGGCCCAGAAGTTTTTGAGTTATTTCAATATATACAAAAATACAAATCTATCCTCTTTATAACATTAGTATAGATATAGATATTATAGAAATATAGATGCAAAAGTTTGAAATCGCTCAATATAGATTTACTGTGGAAATATCAACCTTTTCCCTTACCGAACACTTTCATCCAAATTCTTCTGAATATTACGTTTCAATAGCATTAATCTTAGACGCATATTTTTAACCACACCCAACTTTCACTGCAATATATTAGCGTCGCTAACGCAGTATTGAAGATTGGTAGACACGCCTCGCATTCTGCTAGAAGAACATAGTTGACGGCTACTCTATTATTTTATATTTTTAATGTCTTTTAGGGTTGTCACCCTACTTTTGTGTCAATACCTGTGTGTAAAGAGGCCAGCTGAAAACCAGCGCAGAACGGCTTGCGCCGTCCTTGCATTACCTGAGCTTGCCACCCTTTGCCACATTTTCTTTACTAGCTCTAAGGTTGCTAAATGCATGTTTTCATTTGTAGTTTTTTGTGGTAATAAAAGAATTATTTATTCAGAGCACATAATGGTCAATTAGCTGTGCCTTTGATATACACTCAAGCAGATGTCTACTCTAAACTAAAAGACTTTATTAAGAACTTCAGCACGAAAATTATAATCACGGTATTTAAACAGTAGGAATTAATTTTAACGTGCTTTTTAAAATAATTAATTTATCTTATAAAACCAATTCTTAAATGTGTATGAAATATATTTTGAATATCCAATTTGATATTTCTTTTAAGTAGCAAGAGACGGCGTTAAAGTTCAGATCAAAGAGGCTATGCCGGAGGCAGTTTTGTGGCGGCCTCGATTTCTTGGTAGCTACTTTAAGTATATTATTAACCAATTTTCGTAATTAAGCGTTCGACTTGATTTAATGGATATCATTAATGCATCTATGTCTTTGTATACTTCTGAAATAAAGCTGTTTTTAATATTTTTAGAGAATTCAACGTAGATGAATCTAGAATTTCTTAGAAGTCTCAAATCTAATGTCTTGGTATGGTCAACAACGCTGTTACTGTTTATCAATTCAGATATATCCATACCGAAGCGTTTACCTTAAATTAAAGAAATTTAGACATTAATAACGCTGGCCCAATACTGATTTGTACCTATTTAGTATTTTTGATGACTAACATACTACAAAAACCTTTGCACTTTGAATTTGCAATTTATTACAATCGCTACCTTTCAAGAAACAAACGGAAAATCAAGATAATAACTTGAATTATTTCCGGTCAGAATCATTACGAGTATATTTTAAGGTTACTTTATGGTTTCGCCACGGTAAATTTATGCCAGTAACCTAAAAAACTTAAGTAACTATTACATCGTCTTCCGAACTCGTTATTAAATGTTTACGTAAACCTCGTGAGAAATTTGCCGAAACAAAATGGCGAATGGGATTTATTAAATGTCAGTTTTCTTCGTGTGCAAACATTGTGCCAATGTGCATTGTAATTGTTTACTCTACGAGTTGCATCGCTCTATTGTAATTTTTGTCGTAACACACTCATGAAGATGTCGGACTCAGATTAAAGGAGTTTTTTTATTTGGATGTAATTGGCAAACTTTACTGTGTATTGCACACTTGCATTGCATTGATTCCTATGAGCTTATATGGAAGTACGCAAATTACTCTATTTTTAGTTGCACAACTAAACAATTGAATTGGCTGCAAAACAATCGACATTCGCAAAATAGTTGTGCGATAGTTTAGTCTAAGGTGTGCGCCCGCTCTTAACTATCAAATATTCTAAATGCATAAAGGGGGGGGGGGGGTAATTAACCGTGTACTGTCTGGTATGCGTGGTATGCGCAAAGGTTGCATAAGAAGTGCTCGTTGTGGGATCGGTGCCAGCACGCGACTGCACATCCGTGCCACTAGGTCGCGGGGAAGTAGGCAAACCTGTATTTACTCATATACCTTTGAACCCCCTGTTTTAATAAATAGCAATCATCATTAAAAAATATATTGTTAAAGATAAGATAATGTTAAGTTAATCATAATTATTAGACAAATTAGAATATCATAAAAACAAAGCCTAAAGTTGCACTAGACTTAAAATTGTATGCAGAATTTTATCTTCAAGATACTAAACAATGTTTCACTTTCGTCGTTGTTATAAATGTAGAAATAATTGAGATTAATGTTAATGTTATTTAACAACAATGGGCAAGGTTAAACAGCGTGAAAACGTCCCTAATGTAAAAATGTCACCAACAATGCGGCAAAAGAGGAAACGGTTCCGACCCGCCGGGTAATGATCCGCCCTTGAAATAAATGCTTATTATTGTGTTAGGTTTTGTTTACAAAACACAATTTAATATAGTATCCAATGAGAATTATCTAAACGGCCTTAGAAATTATTAGAAAAATTGTTTTCATTTAACCAGTGTAGAAGGAAAACAAGCAAATCAAAAAATAATTCGATATCCAGTATCGGTT